CACATCCATTACGCTGGAATTGCTCAAAGGCCAATTGGTTAAACTAAATTAGTGTCTGAACGGGAGAGTGTTTGGGTGTTTCTCAGAACTGAGGGTTGTATTTTCAGAGATAAATTGTGGCTGGAAGGTCGTCCGCAGTGTAAAGCAATTGCCAGAGTAATTGGCTGTTCATTTCGCTGTGCACGACCCATGATAAAGCAGAGAATAGGCCGTAAAATGAAGGGAATAAGCACAAGGAAAAGTGAGGCAGTGTAGATTAGCCTTTGATAATTATTCATTCATTAATTCATTTTTCTTCAGCTAAGTCCACTATTTATCAGGGGTCGCCTCAGCGGAATGAACCACCAACTATTCCACCATATGTTTTATGCAGCAGATGCCCTTCCAGCTACAACCAAGTACTGGGAAACACCTATACACTCATTCACACACACTCATATGCTAAGGCCAATTTAGTTCCTCCAATTCACCTATAGCGCATGTGTTTGGACTGTGGGGGAAACCGGAGCACCCGGAGGAAACCCACGCCAACATGAGGAGAACATTCAAACTCCTTACTGGCCCAGCCAGGACTCGAACTAGTGACCTTCTTGCTGTGAGGCGACAGTACTAACCACTAAGCCACCATGCCGCCAATTTGATAATTGGAACAAGTGAAGTTTTTATGACAAAATTAAGCAGGACCAACTTAAAAGTCCCTTCAGTTAGGGGGTCATACAGACTCCCACTTGTACCCTCTGAGAAGTCCTTGATTCCCCTGCCTCACTACCAGGCAAATGGGCTTCATGGGCTCCAGACTGTGATGTTGATGCTTTTTCAAGCTTTCCATGTTATTTTGAACTCTCTCCTGCTGAAAGTCTGATGAAGTGCTGTGAAATGTTGTATAACAGCAGCCCTCTTTCTCCTGAAGGTGTGAACAGGGCCACTGACTACACACGTCCCACGAAAAGCTATTTAAAAAATTGAATAAATAAATAAAAAATCTGTTTATTCTGACAGATATTTCGGTCTCTCCGCATTTGGCTTCGTCCCTCAGGGGATAAAGTATTTTCCTGCCCGTCTTTGGCATTGGCCGGGGTTTGTTTTGGGCTTGAAATGTTATATTTCAAAATGGTTTTGGGTATTTTTAGAGTATGTAATTTTTGCAGAATGTGCCCATGGGTAAGTGGTGACCACACTGATGGGTCAAACCATCTGCCAGCTGTTTCATGTCTGTTCTTTTCCAACCAACAGCAAATTTTAGCTCTTCAAGATAGTGGTTTCTAATCTAACTCATCTTAAGTGATACTTAACATCGTACATAACGAAAACCCACTTCCGTTTTCTACATTTTTAAAATTTTATTTATTTGTATAAAGCACTTTAACAAAAGTAAATACAGTTGAGGGCAAAGTTATTAGCTCTCTTGTACAATATTTATTCTTTTTTAAATATATCTCATGGGATATTTATTGGAAGGGCATTTTCACAGGATCTCCTTTAATATTTTGTTCTTCAGAAAGTCTTATGTGTTTTATTTAGGCTAGAATAAAAGGAGTTTAAATGTTTTTGTTTGTTTGTTTTGTTATTTAAATAGTATTATTAGCCCCGTTGGGCGAAGCAGTGGCGCAGTAGGTAATCCTGTCACTTCATAGCAAGAAGGTCGCTGGGTCACTGGTTCGAGCCTCGGCTCATTTGGCGTCTCTGTGTGGAGTTTGCATGTTCTCCCTGCGTTTGCGTGGGTTTCCTCCGGGTGCTCCGGTTTCCCCCACAGTCCAAAGACATACGGTACAGGTGAATTGGGTAAACTAATTTGTTTGTAGTGTATAAGTGTGTGTGTGAATGTGTGTGTGGATGTTTCACAGAGATGGGTTGCAGCTGGAAGGGCATCCGGTGTGTAAAAACTTGCTGGATACGTTGCTGGTTCATTCCTCTGTGGCGACCCTGGATTAATAAAGGCACTAAGCCAAGAAGAAAATAAATGAATGAATGAATATTAGCCACGTTAAGCTCACTCAGAAAACTCAGTTTAATCTACCTGTTTAAAATGAGCTGAAACAGCACAATTATTGTAATTTATTTGGCTAATTTATTTGTTTTATTATCAGTTAACTTAAATTTGTAAACCATTGAGTTAACTTAAGCGTTTTGTGTTGGGCCAACATAAAAAAAAAATTGTGTTGGTCCTACTACCTGCTTTGGGGATTTGTAGTTCCCAGCAAGCTTTGCATGGGATTGAATTAAGAGAGATAAATGTTGACAGTCAAAGTAATCTTAGATGTTTAAAGTTAATAGAAAGACATGTTAGAGTTTAATCTTCGCTTTAGTTTAAAGATTTATACGACTTTCATGTAATGCTTTGAGTTTTGAGATTGCCACCTTGCAGAAGCACCCATGCTTTGGGTGTTGGAAGCTTAACTAGCTGATCTGCTCTTTGTTGCTTTGCTCAGTGAGCAATACCTGTATTAAAATGAGTTCTGAGATCAACTAACTGTATGTGTAACTCATGAAATATGCTCAAAATGGCTCTTTTAGTGTATTTAGGATAACTTCAAATAAAACTTCAAAATGCATGACACATAATAGACATACATGATATTATCAGACCTTTGAGTTTGATTGAGGTTAAATAAAAACACAAATTTATTTCAACTTTATTTCAAATTTATTTCAATCTCAACGGGTGTCTCATCCAATGAGACACCCGTCTCTGCAGTATAATAAAATAGGTCTATAGAAACATAGCTACTGACACACTTCAATCTTTTCTTAAGGTTTTCTTTGCTTATTCCAGACTTTCTCTCCATCATGCAGTAGTCTCTCTCTCTCTCTCTCTCTCTCTCTCTCTCTCTCTCAATTCAATTCAATTCAATTCAATTCAATAATTGCTTTATTGGCATAACAAATGTTACAAATGTATTCCCAAATCAGTTATAAAATTTACATTAAAAGTAACATACATACATATATATATATATATATATATATATATATATATATATATATATATATATATATATATATATATATATATATATATATAAACATACACACATTAAATAGTTGTAGTAAAATAAAAAAATATATTTATATATAATAATTAAATAAAATATCAACAATATATCATATTATTCAATATATCACATTAATATTCAATATAGTATATTATTATTCAACATATTCATACAAATTAATACAAAAATAGATCAGAATAGACTGTACATTTAACAATCAACATTTTAGGATAAAACAGTAATAAAAACAATAATAATCAGTATATTTACAATGATTCATTTATAATCATCTAGGTGTGTGTGTGTGTGTGTGTGTGTGTGTGTGTGTGTGTGTGTGTGTGTGTGTGTGTGTGTGTGTGTGTGTGTGTGTGTGTGTGTGTGTGTGTGTGTGATTGCGTGTTTTTGTGACTTATCTGGAAACAAATCTGTATAATGACATGGGTATGACACAGGTATTACAAAAAGGAGGTGAAATATGAGGACATTGGTGACGTCCTCATTTCTCAAAATCCTTATTAATCCTACAGAATGAGTTTAATCAGAGAGTAAAGCTGCACACAGTCTCCTGTGATGGTTGGGTTTAGGGGTGGGGTGGGGTGAGGGCAATACAATATACGGTTTGGACAGTATAAAATGAATGGAAACCTATGTAATGTCCCCACTTTTCACAAAAACAAACGTGTGTGTTTGTGTGTGTGTGTTTTTGCAGGCGCATCACTGATGTTTTTATTGGTCTGCTCTCTCTTTTTTGGGCCAGGCATTAATGTATTGGGCCGCTAGAAGGACAAAGTCATTTTTTTCCCCTAGTGAATATTGACGCTCTGTTTTATTGTCTAACTCAGTGAATTGTGGGTAAATGTTCTGTAGTTTGGTGTAGAACGTTTCTCTGATGTGCTGATAGTTTGTGCAGCGGGTGAGAAAGTGTTCCTCCATCTCCACCTCTGCCTGGGCTCACCTACCTCTCTCTCTCTCTCTCTCTCTCTCTCTCTCTCTCTCTCTCTTTTCTTTCTCCAGTGTTAAATGTGCTTTTGTTTTTGCTCAGCTGGCATCAATCAACTCTTGTACTTTTACTCACAAAAGCTCCTTCACTGAAAGTCTTATTTAGATTGGCTGTTCAGACCTTTTTATCAATACACACTGATCTTTAAAAGCAGATGTGTCTGGCAAACACTGCTTCCTTGTGTTTTCTGTGGTCTGTGGTGTGAGCTTTCAGGCAAAACGTGATTGACTGTACAGGTGAGTTCTGGGCTCAATGTGCATAAATCCGTCAATAAGATGTGTCGGGCTGAACACAAGATTTATTTATTTTTAAAGAGTGTCTGTAAGTAGCACTATTGTTAAACTGTTTCACCATCTTCTGATATCGTGGAGCGCTGTGTGTTTTCAAACCTTTTATTTTTAGCCATTTGCCTTACTTGGTTTATAATGAGCAATTTAGCTCTTTTAGTAGCCCTTATTTCCTTATTTTCATTGAACCTTGCAGTAAAATGACTTTAAACATCACACTAATGGCTCAGTCTACCCCACACCAAGACCAAAATGTGACTATATACAGTATATATATCATATACACTCACCGGCCACTTTATTAGGTACACCTATCCGACTGCTCGTAATGCAATTTTCTAATCAGCCAATCACATGGCAGCAACTCAGTGCATTTAGGCATGTTGACATGATCAAGACGATCTGCTGCAGTTCAAACCGAGCATCAGAATGGGGAAGAAAGATGATTTAAGAGACTTTGAATATGGGATATACATAATAAAGTGGCCTGTGAGTGTATATCAATGTGTATTAATTGGACGATGCAAACAGGTGTAAATGGGGACTGAAACTTTTTGAGCTTGTCCTCTTTTGACAAATATAGAAATTAATAACTTTGCTACCAGGATAATTAGTCAATTTTAATACTTGTAAGAATATAGTCATGTTGCTATAATATATAATATATGTCATCTGGTTGTTCACTTCACTCTTGGACATCCCTGTATTTGTCTCTTTCAGGTTCTAGCATTAGCAGACGCAGCAGAGGACAACCGTGAGCGTTTGATCCAGGCGTTTGCACGTTTACGGAGCGCGACTCACCTCCTCATCCTGCTGCTGTCTCTGTGGCAGGGGCTGAACTCCGAGCAGACCACCATCCTGGAGGCCACTCTCCTGCCACTGCTGCAGGACACACCGCAGCTTGTGAGAGAACACACACATATGTACACAAACCTGACATTAGACACTAGTGTCTGGATGTCGTGGAGAATCTGTTTTAAGAGTGTACAGTGCATGTGGAAAGTATTCATAGCACTTCCCTTTTTCCACATTTTTTTATGTTACAGCTTTATTCCAAAATGGATTAAATGAATTTATTTCCTCAAAATTCTACACACAACACCCCATAATGACGTTTTTTTTTTTTTTTTCAAATTTATTAAAAATAAAAAACCTGTTAAATCACATGTACATAAATTTTCACAGCCTTTGCCGTGAAGCTCTAAATTGAGGTCAGGTACATTCTGTTGAGTCAGAGAGGTGATCAATAACCCGATGGTCACTCTGTCTGAACTCCAGCGTTCTTCTGTGGAGAGAGGAGAGCCTTACAGAAGGACAACCATCTGTGCAGCAATCCACCAATCAGGCCTGTATGGTAAAGTGTCCAGACGGAAGCCACTCTCCGCCTGGAATTTGCCAAAGGACATCTGAATGACTCTCAGACCATAAGAAACATGGTCTCTCTGGTCTGATGAGACTAAAATTGAACTCTTTGGAGTGAATGCCAGGCGTTACGATTGGAAAAAAAAACAGTCACCGCTTATCATCAGGTTAATACCACCAAGTTTTTCAGCAGCAGGAGCTGGAGGACTGGTCAGGATAGAGGGAAAGATGAATGCAGCAATGTACAGAGACATCCTGAATGAAAACCTGCTTCAGAGTGCTCTTGACCTCAGCCTGAGGCGACAGTTCATCTTCCAGCAGGACAATGACCCAAAGCACACCGCCAAAATATCAATGGAGTGGCTTCACAACAACTCGGTGAATATCCTTGAGTGGCCCAGCCAGAGCCCAGACCTAAATCCTATTGAACATCTCTGAAGAAATCTGAAAATGGCTGTACACCGTCGCTTCCCATCCAACCTGATAGAGCTTGAGAGGTACTGCAAAGAGGAATGGGCAAAAATTCCCAAAGACAGGTGTGCCAAGCTTGTGGCATCATATTCAAAAAGACTTGAGGCTGCAATTGCTGCCAAAGGTGCATCAACAAAGTATTGAGCAAAGGCTGTGAATACTGATGTACATGTGATTTTTCAGGCTTTTTATTTTTAATAAATTTGCAACAATTTCCAAAAACTTTTTTCACATTGTCATTATGGGGTATTGTGTGTAGAATTTTGAGTAAATAAATGACTTTAATCTATTTTGGAATAAGACTGTAACATAAAAAATGTGGAAAAAGTGAAGCACTATCAATACTTTCCGGATGCACTGTATATAGTCTGGGGTCTACCCCAGATTCTTGGACCAAATGCAAAATGTGTTTTGGGCCCCCTTTCTCAGTATCCATGATGCATGCTGTTTATTTCTTCTTTAATTATATAATGAATTGTATTTGCTCAGTAATTGTTGAAAAACCAGTGATGTAAAATCAGCCTAAAATTATTTTTTCAAGTATTTTGCTTTTGATTACTGATTCACAAGTGTTTTCCGTTTATTTATGGTTGTGAATTGCATTAAGGGATGTTGATCTCTGCTCTGTTGACTTTTAATGTTGCAAATTCAACTCTACAGTTTAACTAGGTGACTTTTATTGAGATTTTTGTAGTTTGAAATAATATAACGTATAAGAAATAATATATTAAGAAATAATTCAGTATATTACAAGGTTTTTGTACCGATATATATAACCCAACCCGGACAATATATTACTTTAAATGACTAAAAAATGTTAACGAAAGTCACTTTTTCGAACTTTTCCAGGTTAAAAAAAGAACAAGCACCCATAATGCAATTCAAAAAGGTAAATTAAAGGGAAAATTAAAACATGAATCACAAAATACGGAAAACTGCTCATTTACGGATATCTTTTACAGCATATTAAAACAATGAACCAAAAACTAACAATATTAAATAAAAAAAAATTGGTTTAATGTTATTGATTCACAGAATAATATTTGTCAAAATTGTTCCATACTACTATACTTAATGTTTAATACTATAAATAGATCCTCAGGTATCCCTTCAGAGATAAAAAAAAAAAAACCCAGATAACTTAATGATTTTTAATGTGTGACCTCTCTGTGAACTATATAAATAAATAAATAAATAAATAAATAAATAAGTATTACGTTAGCTCAATTAAACTTTTTGAGCAAGATCTACACAATTCATCTGTCTCTGTATACACACAAACACACACACTACCTGACTACCTAGTCTTGTCGTCAATCCCAGTTGTAAAAGCAACAACTAATAACATCAAGTTGATCATTTGGAAAAGTGGCAGAAGGTCGATTTTTTTTTTTTTTTTAGATGAATCATCTGTTGAACTGCTTCCCAATCATCACAAATACTGCAGGAGACCTATTGGAACCTGCATGGACCCAAGATTCATAGAAATAAGTCAAGTGTGGTAAAGGAAAAATCATGGTTTGGGGTTACATTCAGGATGGGGGCATGTGAGAGATCTCCAGAGTGGATGGCAACATCAACAGCCTGAGGTATCAAGACATTTGTGCTGCCCATTACATTACAAACCACAGGAGAGGGCAAATTCTTCAGCAGTATAGCGCTCCTGATCATACTTCAGCCTCAACATCAAAGCTCCTGAAAGCAAAAAAGGTCAAGGTGCTCCAGGATTCTTCAGCCCAGTCACCAGACATGAACATTGTTGAGCATGTCAGGGGTAAGATAAAGGAGGAGGCATTAAGGATGAATCCAGAGAATCTTGATGAACTCTGGGAGTCCTGCAAGAACGCTTTCTTTGCCATTCCAGATGACTTTATTAATAAGTTATTTGAGTCATTGCAGAGATGTATGGATGCAGTCGTCCAAGCTCATGAGAGTCCTACACAATATTCATTCTTTCTCCACTGCAGCATGACATTATAATCTATACTGTACATTATTTCTGTTAAGTGACAAGACTTTTGTCTAAGCAAAGTCAGACCTTACTGTCCTAAGTAAATCATTTAATATTAAGACATGATCATATTTTATTTTGGTAAAATAAGCGTAATCTAGAAGCCTTTGCCTTTCATATAAACCACTTCTGATACAAAATGATCAACTAGAAGTCAAGTTGATATTTGTTGTTCCTAAAACTTGGATAGGTGACAAGACTTTTGTCAGGTAGTGTACAATACTGCAATATTGGCGGTTAGAGTACACACAGATCTCCAATTAGAATTTCTACCTTACATAGTACAACGCAACTTTGGAATACTCATTTCAACATATTATGACATTGGGACATTCTAATTCTAGTTTCCAATTATATTTAGGATGGATAGTATGGGAATTGGGACGAAGCAATACATTTTCCTAGGCAGTCATCATGGAGCCTTTGTTTCATTTTACTATGTGTTGTACCACCCAAAACCAAACTATCACCGCTCACAAAAAAAGACCTAAGAGTGCCTAGCAACCACAGAACCAACCCCTGATAACCACAGGTATATGCCGAGCTAGTGCAGTTCCCATGCTGATACACTTCCGGTGACCTGTTATTGTGAACTTTTTACCATTTTATACGGTTCCTTATACAGCATCTATGTTGTAATGTCATTAAAATACATTCAGTTAAATAAACTTTAGCATTTATTTAGTTGCTCAATCGTAAAACGAGACAAAAAGCTGTTTACTTGCACGCGCCCGTCAGAATCGCCAGGCTAACGCAGAAGCTCCATTGAATATAATGGGGTAAAATAAATGCTCACATTATAAAGACACGGCAGTGAAAATTTTATTTAATGCAGTGCTTCTTGTACAATCTGAGACCCACTTTAAATCGGATATCACTCAGCCAGTGGAGATCGCTGATTTTTAAAGAAAACAGACCTTAAATGCACTGGATTTTGTATTAACATTCAAATCGCCGGAAGCGCTTAACCCAGGTTACTGACAAATTAAAAGTCCTATTAGCATGCTTCGGCATATACCCCATTAGACCTCCTAAATTATTAGCCCCCCCTCTTTATTGTTTTCCCAATTTCTGTTTAATGGAGAGAAGATTTTTTCAACACATTTCTAAACATAATAGTTTTAATAACTCATTTCTAATGACTGATTTATCTTATCTTTGCTGTGATGACAGTAAGTAATATTTTACTAGATATTTTCAAGATACCAGTATTCAACTTAAGGAGACATTTGACTTGGTTATTTAGGGTAATTACTTAGACAAATCATTGTATAACAATGGTTTGTTCTGTAGACAATCAAAAAAATTGCTTAAGAGGGCTAATATTATTGGCCTTAAAATGTTGTTTTTTTAAATAAAAACTGCTGAAATAAAACAAATAAGACTGTCTCCAGAAGAAAAAATATTATCAGAATTACTGAAAAATTCCTTGCTCTAATTTGGAAAAAAATTGAAAAGAAATTCACAGGAGGGCTAAATGACTTCAGCTGGCTGCACATGAGAAAATACTCTTTTATTTGGAGAAGGTTCAGCAGGACGCTATTTAGATATCTCTGTCAGTAATTGCTAGAGAGTGCGTTTGCCAAAATACACAGCAGTCACGAGCGTCTTTTATTACTCAGGCTGGTGTAATCCGCTAATTTCCTTCATTGGAGACTTTTATCTGATTTATCAATGTCTTCCTCTTTCTGTGCCTCTGCTTCTCCTTTATCTCCTGCAGTCAATAAAGGGCTCGTCCCTGTCATCAGAGTAACAAGGCTGATTACCTGCTATTAGATCTCATTAAGGGCTGTCTGTATGGAGACACTGTCGCCCCTACATTCCACCTGCCTGTCAACACCCCGTCCCATCTGAGAGCCTCTCCAGCCTGCCCGACGGCAAAAAAGAGTGGGCTGGAGATGCTGCAGGCCAGACTTAAAGACGTACACACACACAGAGACACACTGCAAAAAATGGGTTTCTTATGTAGAGTTTTTGTCTTGTTTCTAGTCCAAATATCTAAAAATTCTTAAATCAAGAAGCATTTTCTAGGCAAGCAAAATATATTGTGAAATATAAAGAAATAATGTGCTAAAATTATTTAGTTTTTCCTTAAAACAAGATGAATAATCTGCCAATGGGGTAAGTGAAATAATCTGGCTTTTCCTTTTGACATAAGATTATTTTGCTTACGCCATTGGCAGATTGTTTAATTGATTTTAAGGAAAGACTCACTTTAATTTGGCACATTATTTCTTAAAACAAGACACAATTTTAAATGCTTTTTGATTTAATAATGTTTAGATATTTGGACTCCAAATTGAATTGGAATTCAATTTTTTTTACCTCTACCCCTTCCCCTTGGCCCTTGAAACAGAGTGTGAAGGGGGAGGGCTTCAAATTTACCCCTAAGAAATGGGACACCACTACAACACCAACACACGTCATCATATGTTGTCGCAAGCTCTTACTTCATCTGAGATTGACGACGACGACTGCTGTAGTTATTCCAGTTGAGTTTTTTTTGGTATTTGGTATTATTTGGTATTTTGGCATAATTTGTCTTCAAGAAATCACAGACGGCAATGATATCATGTTATTATACTGATAACGTGTGGCAATAAGCTCATAACTGTACTGTGTATTCACACCGTGGCCATATTCATCTATGTAAACACACAAAAACAATACTAGACACTATAGAAAGCTCATTCCCAGCCACTAGATTTTTCTGACAGGCTATTCGAGTGTCATCGACAGATGTGAAAGTATGATAGATAGCGAAATTTAGCAGGGTTTTTACATTTTTTTTTTTTAAAAGGAAGATGGTTAAACATGAACGCCGTTATGAATGTATTAAAACATATGTAAACCTGACGGATCGGAAACCCCCTATGATTCTTTGCATATGAGCCCTAAACCTCATTCCCATCCCGGACGAGCCACCAAGTTTAAAAAAAATTAATTGGCTAAACTGTCAGTGGGCGAGTTAAAAGAACCAAAACAAAGACAGGCGTTCTGGCACAAAACCGTTATTTTCAACGCAGAATATCTGACTTTGGCATTGCCTTTTTCAGATAAACAAGAATGTTCACTTACTGTAGCATGTTTCTTAAATATCTGCAAACAAATTATAGTATTTTTATGCTTTAGAAGAGTCAAAGACTTACATACAGCACCATCACTTATTTTGACATAATATTTCTGAAAATAAGACAATATTTTTACTTTTCCAAAAAATTCTTCTTGATTTAAGAATTTTTAGATATTTGCACTATAAACATGCCAAAAACTCAAAGTAAGAAAAGCACTTTTTGCGGTACACACACATATGTACACACACACACACACACATACATAAAAATCTCTGTTCATGGGGAGTAACTTTCCATCCATGAGGCATGTGGCAAAACCTACTCGATAGCTCATGCAAAAAAAAGAAGTGTGTACTCACACAGAAATTCCACTTAAAAGTTTATAGCTTGTTTGTATGTAGATCAAGTTTTAGATGTGGCTAGGAAAATGGTGGATGGGAGGGAGCGTTTGTGGCTCGGGGAATAAAAACATCAGATACAAAACAAAAGATGCGAAAGTATTAAAACTAAATAAGGCAAAAGACTAAGGTACATATACTTGTATAAACATAAGAGGCTACTATTAAAGTTTGAATTTTGTTTGAAACATTTTGTTCTGTTGCTTTGTACTCTAGACATTAGTTAGAGCGGCGAAATAAAGTGTGGAAATCATAAACTTCACACTTCCTTGCAGATTCAGATTTTCTCCAGCAGGAACGTTTTTATTCAGTTTCAGCTTATTGATTCTTCTTTTTGTGAGGCTTGTGACCTTATATCAAAGACTATCAAAGACTTAGCCTTCCTGTGTTTTTTTTTCTTTTCTTTTCTTTTTTAAAAATTTCCCAAATGATGTTTAATAGAGCAAGGGAATTTTCACAGTAATTCCTATAATATTTTTTCTGCTTAAGAAAGTATTTTTTCTTTTATTTCGGCTAGAATAAAAGCAGTTTTTAATTTTGTTATTATTTAATATTATTAGTCACCTAACAATAGTCTACAACAGTGGTACTTAACCCCCTTAGCCACGGACTGATATTGCTCCACGGATAAATTGTTACTTTGCCACACAAGAAATCGTTAATTATTTTCATTTTATTTATTATCTGAGTCTGAACAATCTTTTTCTTTAATCAATAATCATATTCTCTCGGTCACTTGAGCACCAAAATTTAACCCACAAGCTACCAAGATGAGTAAGAAACAGATGTTTTGTGCACAAGCAGAGGAAATCGGGGCGCAAGCACACTCGTATTGCACGTAAATACAATCTCGACTTGTGATATTGTTCTCACAACATTTCTTCATTTATCGTTGAAATAACGCCATAGGTAGTTGGTAGATTTGTGTAAAAGGTCTGCCGCCACAGCTGGAAAAAATCCTAGAGGAAACACATATATATAGTCGAGATCGTATTTACGTGCAATATGAGGGTGCTTGCGCCCCGATTTCCACTACTTGTGCACAAAACCTCTTGCACGTCCCCTCAAATATACGCTGCTCAAGCGCAGATCTTCTTGTGCGCTCTCAAATAAACGCTGCTGTTTATGTAGTGAGTATGTCTCCAACATTTATTACATTTTTTAGGAATATATATGAATGTCTCCAGTAGACCTACAGAGCGGCATTAATGCGTCCTGAAGTAAAGTGAAACGGCTATAAACTCCAGCAAGATAAAGTCATTTCATGCAGAGCCATAGACCTTTATCTATAAATAAAGTATAATTATGGATACTGTGTTCATCTTAACTGAAAGTTACGTCGTGTTTGCTGGCCTTATGCTTCACGCACCTGTCAGTCAGTCAGCACGTAACCTCAAAGGGTTTAATAAATAACGCACAGCACTATACAGTTACAGAAAAGTTTGCGCTGTTATAATTCACTTACCTTTCAATACATTTGGTTCAGTTATAATCCGCTATTAAAAACAACAACAACAATGACTGAATGTTTTGAATGGGAAGCTGTATATATATATATATATATATATATATATATATATATATATATATATATATATATATATATATATATATATATATATAAAACTGCAGGTTAACTATGTTTATATAATAACCTTACCTGTTTAAAGCTATTAGTTACTAGTTAATTAGTTATTAGCTGATACTGGCTATTAGCTAATTAGTTACTAGCTATTAAAGTTATAAGTAACCAATAAAGGTATGGTGACTTATAACCTTAACATTTCTGGCTTTGAGTGTAATGCATTAATGTGCACCTTTTGAATGAGTAATTATTGTGAAAAGCGCTACACAAGTAAACTTGAATTCAATTGAACATGTTGTGTGTTTTGCAGGGGTGGGAAGAGAGCGTGGATGCAGCCGTCTCTCACCTCTTAAAAACGTGTCTGTCACGCAGCCCCAAGGATCAGGCTATCAGCTTGAGCACGGGCCCGCTAACCATCCCGAAAGACACGTCCCGGCTGAAGAAACACATAATGCTGCTGTGTGACCGCTTGGGCAAGGGTGGCCGTCTCTCTCTCTCCTCAGAGGCCAATGTGCCTACTGCTGTCATGATGCCAGGTTAGAAACATCTCAGTTTGCAATGCAAAAAAAGAGGATCTTTATTGAAAACCTCAAGCCAATATGTTTAAATGCCTTCACTAGGCACAATATGCTTTTGTTGCTTGCTCAAACTACTTATTTAAAATGAGCTCAATCAACACAATTCTAATTCGACTAATTTATTTAATGCTCAATCCACTTAAATTTGTAAGCACAATCAAGTTAACTTAAACGATTTGTGTTAGGACTACTTGAAGGAATTATGTGTAACCCAGCATTTTGTTTTGAAGGGGTAAACTTCATTCTACACTGAGACAGAAATCTTTCACACATTGAAAAATAAATTTGGCCTTATGTTGTGTCAGTCACATTTACAAACTGCCTTCGAAATTTGGTCCGTCATAAAAAAATGGAAAAATAAATTAATGAAAATAATTCAGGGCTCGAAATTAACCCTTTTGCTTGGTAGCACCGGTGCTCCTAACTTTAAAAATGTAGGTGCATCAGCCAAAATTTAGTCGCACCCACCAATTATGAGCACCGTTACTACAAGTGTTATACAAACATATTTATTGCATTTGAAATCAACAGTAATCAAACTAAGAAGCAAAAAAATATATATGCAAGAGTGAGGACAATATGTCTCAAAAAAATCCCGTTACCACAAGAAAATAAATTTTTATAAAATAACTGAGTGACTAAAAGATACACGGAGCGCTCACCGGACCTGTACGCACTGCTTGACATCAGTAAATCTGGTAATGATATAAGGCCGTACTCACACTAGGTACATTTGCCTCGAACCGGGCCAAAGCACGCTTGTCCCCCCTCCCGTCTCCCCCGACGGCCCGCACTCACACCACAATCGGGCTTTGGCACGCTTACGTCATCGCTGCTGGGCTGTTCAGTGAGAAGCGCTCTCTCACTCAGCAGCACAGTGGAGATTTCTCTAGTTATATCGTTTCAGTTGTTTGATATGCCGTCAAATATTTCGCCAAACAGTCCTTAGGGATGCGGGGACACGCAGTCAGATATTTCGCCGTACAGACCCGCCACTTTTGGCGCTCATAAACAATCATAAAGCTTTCGTGCTGCAGGAATGAGGAGGTCTGCAGAAGGCGCGCAGCTGTCGTTAAGTGAGGAGTTTGCGTCTTAAATAAACGACGGCAGTTTGCGTTCACTGAACAGTACGAATGATTAATAAATCCATATGAAACAGTCCCTTAAAAGTCACGTTTCGCTTTCAGTTTCGGGCTTTGGCGCGTTTTGCACTCACACACAAGCGTACCGCACCAAAGCCAAAGTGAACCGCGCTCAGGCACACCTCTTTCAACCGGGCCAGGGCCAGCCAAGTGAACCGTGCTTGAGCCCGATTCAGCGCACTCACACTTCTCAAACGATCCGAGAAACGGGCCTGGGCACGGTACAGATGGCATAGTGTGAGTAGGCCCTAACTATGCTGTTCTCACGGGTGCTCTCTGATATTGCATTGATGCTTTTGACATATACTGCACCTTATTATATGCATACGTCATGTTTATAGAAATACTGGTCTTTTCATGAGTAGCGATGTTAGTTTACTCAATGCAATCACGTTTGCGATGGTGTACGTGGTGTTACATTTTACATATAGCTGCCACTTGCATGGCGGACAGCATCTGGCGATTATATGAAGGATTAAACAGAAGCTCTCGTGCTAGATGTTGCAAACAGTTACCTGAAAATTCCATCCCACAGACTTTTCATAGCGGACTTGAAGCTAATGGAAGTCTTTTATCCACTCTTGGAAAAGTGTAGATGGTGGATTAACATTCAGCACATGATCACTAGTAAGATGTATCATTATTTGTAACTTTAGATGCCATGGTTTCTCAAACAAAATCTGTCAGTGTTATCTTCATTCTCATCTTCAGCGCTTTACATTTTCACGGTTGTAGCTCTCCCTGTCATCCCAAGCCAGAAGACGCTGACTGAGTGATTGACAGCTGATATTTCAGTGCTAGAGCAGTGTGCCAATAAGAAGAGCGCAAAGGCGGGGCAAGCATTACGGACTTGGCTTTGTTTACTGCAGCAAGTTGACATGACAACTGTTTTAAACCATCCCTGAGCACTGCGTTTCAAGTGCAAAGATGCATTCTGCGTGTATGTCTCCCAAATCCGAGCATGTGGTGAACATTTTGCAGTAAAAACTGGTCAAACACAACAATGTTATGCACTCGCACAAATACTCCCAAATATATTTTAAGGTCGCATAGATAAAATTTCTGGGGCATATGAGCCCTTTTCGAAAACAATTTCGAAAACAACTGAAACAATTTCGAGCCCTGCAACTACTGTTTTTTTACCTTTAAAGGGCCACAACACCTCCTAGCATTCTGGCAGATCACCTACTGCACCTTTAAGTAAATGATGAGAAAACTTTCATTTCTTCGACATTTTAGCTTTTGTATAACTGACTTTTAAAAAGATAGACGTTAAACTGTACAATTACAAGTCAAACTAAATTTTATTTAAAATTATATTTTAATTTATTTACTATAATTTAAGTTTCTTCGGCTTAGTTTTAATTAAATAACAGCTACCCATCTGATAACAGCTGTCCATCCCGTGTCCTGAAGAAAATCAAGTCAAAATCAGCTCTTGTGTCTCTTTTTGGTAGTAGACTATATGTGAAGACTCCGCTTACATTCTCATGTTACACTCATGTGACGTGCAGGGATAGAAAGAAGAGCTTTAATCTTCAGAGGACACATAAAACGCCACAGATCCGTGTGGAATGTGTGAATGATTAACTCTATGGATTGTGCTATCAGACGCCTGTCCTCCCTGATGTCTCGGACCGTCTCTCTCTCTCGCTGGTGTTTGGACACTGGGTGTGGAGATATTATCCTCCCCTCAGATGGCTGAATGTCTGAGCGAACAGCGTTTGGTCCACTGCCAGTCATGAGGAGGAGAATGAGCGACTAATCTCGGAGAATCCTGCTGAAAATTGCTTTTGCCTGATGAAATATGGCTGCAGGACATGTTCCTCCAGTCCTTCACGTTTAAAATCAAACTCTTGACACCGTCTCGTACGCACACTTGTGGCCTGGCGGTTTTATCGGCCTGATTTGTGTCTTCCTGTCTGCCTTCCCTGTTCTCCCTCACCTGACCTGGCCTTAAAGTGATGACATCACGCTGCACTCCCTGAGCACCTGCCTCCGAGCTAATGTTTCAACATTCGGAGATCTCATAGCAAAAGGGTCTTTCATTTTTCTGTTCTTGAGATTTTTTTTATGAATGTACCATCAGAGGTCACAGTTCCGTTCGTGGAAAGATGATTAAAAAAGGGAGCCATATTTTTAGATTTGTTTAAAAGGAGTTTTGTGGAAGGTTTCTTTTCACTCTTTACATAATCAATATTATAAATCAAATGCTCAACGTGATCAGAAGTTGCTTTTTTCCTTTTAGCAGACATCGATTCTTATCTGGAGCGACCTATTACTCTATTTTAACGATCTAGATGATCTAAACTGCATGGCGCAAAAGCATTAAGGCTGTTTCCGAATCCACTTTTGCTATTTTTAGGATGGAAAAATACAGTTAGTGCCCTCGTGCACTGTCTAACAGGGTTGTGCTTATTACCTTACTGAGTTATGAGTGTGTTTTGAACATAATATACATTAAATCAATCAGAGCTTCATCTCACTTTCCCTTTAAGAGTCAGTTGCGTAGCGCCATGACGCATTTGCTTTTTACATGGCGGACTTTGTGGAAAAAAAGAAGAAGCGAAAAAACTGACTGCTTCACTAGCAAGAAAACAGTTAAACAGACCCTCTGCAGCCCGAGGATAAAGAACGAGCCTCCTCCATTTGGCCTCTTTACTTTCCCTTTACGTTACTTCACTCCTTACTCCTTTACTTTGGTGAATTCAGGAAATGGTGGAAACTCACTCCCCTGAAGGCATCCATTAGCCTGCATATTTAATTTAGTTTAAGTGCAAGTTTGTTAGTTTGTTTCAAAACTATTTCTAAATTCAGTTTAATTTCCAGCAAACAAATAAATAAACAATAATAAGAAGTGTGGTCAAAAATTATTGTATTATTAAATGTATACAATTATTATATATATATATATATATAATAATTATTATTATTATTAATTATTTTTTTCTTTTATAAAATAAAAATGTTCCTTCTGGGCCATTTGAAAAATTTTTCAGCATTTAAAATGGTCTTAAAAATGTCTTAAAAAAGTCTTGAATTTAACTTGGTGAAACGATGTGTGAGTTGCAGAGAGCTATCTACCGGCTATGAAGATTTCTTATTTTAGCAGCTGTCTTATTGTATTATTTTGAGTCGTTGTTGTATTATTATTATGCTCAAAATATGATAAAGTAATTATATATATATATATATATATATATATATATAAATATAATGGGCCACAAATAGAACCCTGTGGTCTTCACAGCTAAAGCATGTGTAATAGATGATAATGAGTTTCACAAATTATGTTGTAATGAAGAAGAAACACTTTTTTCTGTTCTGTTTTTGTAATTTTAATATTGTGTTCAATTATAAAATCAATTTTAATATGACATAATTATGAATATTTTAATATTGTTTTAAGAAACATGTTCCTTTTAAAATGCTAAAATGCGGCATGCAATTTTATGTAAGCAGCCCCTCTTAGTTAGCAATTGACTAAATATTCCACAACTTCCTGTAAAAAGGAAAAAGAAATCTGTTTAGTGACTTAGGACTCTTTTTGATTTGTATTGACGGCAATACAGCCAGTCATTTCAGCAGGTCTCTGTGCTGCCGGGGCCATGACCAGCTGTAAATGCTGTTAATGTGAAGTGGAAACGTCTAGGAGAAACAGCAACTTAGTTGTTGATAGGAGCGTCACACGTTAGACTTTAGCAGAGAACTGCTGAGTGCTGTGGAACATTGCACATTAACATAGTCTTACCTGCTTTCAGCACTCACTACAGTTTCCTGACCTCTTCTGGAAGTTAAGTCACCACAAGGGTTGTTTATTGGGTTTTTTGTTGCCATTCGGTTAAATAATTAAACACTGATCTAGCCGTTATATACTGTATATACACACACTCACCGGCCACTTTATTAGGTACACCTTACTGGTACCGGGTAGGACCCCCTATTGCCCTCTGAACTGCCTCAATCCTTCGTGGCATATATTTAACAAGGTAATTCAAATATTCCTCAGAGATTTTGGTCCATATATACCTGATTGCATCATGCAGTTGCTGCAGATTTGTCGGCTGCACATCCATGATGCAAATCTTCCATTCCACCACATCCAAAAGGTGCTCTATTGGATTGAGTTCTGGTGACTGTGGAGGCCATTTGAGTACAGTGAACTCCTTCATGACATGTCTCTTCTGCAGACCTCGTTTGTAACGAGTGGTTATTTGAGTTACTGTTGCCTTTCTATCAGCTGGAACCAGTCTGGCCATTCTCCTCTGACCTCTGAAATCAACAAAGTATTTGGCCCACAGAACTGGATATTTTCTTTTTTTCCTGACCATTCTGTGTAAACCCTAGATAGAGATAGTTGTGCGTGAAAATCCCAGTAGATCAGCAGTTTCTGAAATACTCAGACCAGCCCATCTTACACCAACAACCATGCCACGTTCAAAGTCACTTAAATCACCTTTCTTCCCCATTCTGATGCTTGGTTTGAACTGCAGCAGATCGTCTTGACCATGTTTACATGCCTAAATGTATTAGGCATTGGCTGATTAAAAATTTGCGTCAACGAGAAGTTGGACAGGTGAGACCAAATGATCAAATAGAAGTGAAGTTAAAACTTGGATTGGTGATAAGGCTTTTGTCAGGTAATGTGTATGCAAAAGCACAGGATGAAGCATCACATGCTGACATGTATGCAGCGAATCTGACAATTCAAGGTAGAAATACTTAAAACTCTTTGTCTCGTAATTGTACAGAAATGACCATGTTAGAATAAAATATACACTTTTAAATGACAGAGTTTTAGTTCAGTCAGAAAACGTTGTTTTCTAATGGCACTGAGCATTTTGTGTGTTGTTTATGTGCCTCGTGTTTTAACCATATCACTTGAAGTTGAAAAAGTAAACTTGATATACTCGTAAACATTTGTGTTGTCCATATACACAAGCTTATGTAACAACATAAAAGTGCAGTGCACTGCTTTTTTCTAAAGTCAACCAAAAGGCCAGTGCAGTACATTTTGTGTTTTCAGACCTGAAAATCATGTTGTGTGAACGGACTCTAAGTCCACTTTAATGTGTTTTCCACCTCTCAAGAACTGAAACAATAAATGAAACCTCAGTCGGTTACAGCCTGATACCACACGCTATTGAGCGACTTGTCGGCAGAGATCAGGTTTTGTTTTTGTAACATGTGGAAACATTACAAGTTATGTGTGGAGCACAGTTCAACTGCACAGATACCTGTGTTATTAGACCTCCGTCTCTGATCTGAAATATCACTCCTAGATGAACAGCCTGTGTAAATATTAGAGGAGGATTACGATAATCTTGCCTGAGGAAAGTCAGCAGTCACACTGGATTTGTTTATTTGGGATATGCAGTGTGAAAAAAGAAACAATTGTGAAGCTGGACAGGGCCACGTACTGTATAAGAGGCTGATTCAGTCCCTTCAAAGCTCTAAATTCTGGCTGATCTTCAGCACTGAGTGTCAAAAGTGTCTGATGGAGTCCAGCAGGTGCACTCTGACATGCCAACAGTTTGCGGAAATTTGGGAAAGAGGACAGTTTAAGTTTTTACTACAGTGTTATGTTTTATTAACTGTGTAAATAGTGCTTTTCAGTTCCGAGCAATGTTTGTGGCTCATAGATTTGGTAACACAGCCGTTCAGTTTGCAGAATGTATCCAAAGCTCATATATTCTTATGAAGGTATCCAAATTGTATCATCTGCTCACTGGAGTACCTTAGGATCTGTTCTTGGTTCCCTTCTATTTTCTATGTATAACCCCAAATCAGACAAAGTTGGGACAGTATGGAAAAACGCAAAAAAAAAAAAAAAAAAAAAAGTATTGCTTTCTAAATTTACTTTGACCTGTATTTCATTGCAGACAATATGCAGACAAAATATTTCATGTTTGTCTGGTCAGCTTCATGTCATTTTTAAATAAACATCTTTTCCTGTCATTCGGACCTGCAATGCATTCCAAAAATAAATGGGACGCGAGCAGTTTAGGGCTAGTAATCAGGTAAATTGGTTAAATGATGATGTGATTAGAAACAGGTGATGCCAACAGGTGATTCTAATTATGATTTGGTACAAAAGCAGCATCCAAGATCTAGTCTTTAGGAGGAAACAAGTGTATTTGACTGGCCTGCCTGCAGTCCTGACCTGTTTCCAATGTAGAATGTGGGGCGCATTTTGAAGGTCAAAATGCGACAATGTAGACCCCGCACCGTTGTTTACTTTAAGACTTGTTTGGAGGAAGAATGGCACCTGAAACCCTTCATCACTTGATGTATTCAGTCTCTAAACGTATTTTAAGTGCTGTGAAAAAGAATGACAACATTACAAAGTGGTAAATGCTTTACTGTTCCAACTTTTTTTGAAATGTGTTGCAACAACCAAAATTGCAATATATGTTAATTTAGAAAAACAAAAATCATGAGAAACACATTAAATAATATTTGTTTTACTGTCTGCAATGAAATACAAGTAAAAGTAAATTTAGAAATCCCTACTTTTCTGGTCCATTAAATAATTGTAACTTTTTATTTTAATGGGCACCTATTTTACCCCTTTTTAAAATAATTTAAAATAAGTGTTTTGTGTCTCCAGAATGTGTCTGTAAAGTTTCAGCTCAAAACACCCATAAGATTGCTTATTATACCTTATATATTCAGCTCTCAGCACCTTGTAGCTGTTTTTGTTGCCTGTGCGTTCAATGCAAATGAGCTAGTTCTCCCTGCCCACCGTTCCCACGTGCCTGTTAGAGTGTCTCCGTCTCCTGCTGCGTCAGATAAACAGTACAGACATGAAGGAAGCAGATCTCATGTAGCGTCTGTGAAAAATACTACAGTAAGAACTTTCCCAATGATTATTTGATGTATTTGTTGTGGAGTTAATTCAAGCCTTTCTGCAACATTGAGTCACACACAATGTCGTTACAAAGTTCATGCACATACTAGGACACACACACACACACACACACACACACACACACACACACACACACACACACACACACACACACACACACACACACACACACTCTGTCAATCAATTCGGTGGGTGGGGAGACCGCTCTCCAACATCATGTTGCAGTGGGCATCAAAATGGATGGGTTTTGGATCCTACTTTAAAGTCAGGACATAAAAAAAAAAACTTTTGTGCATTTATCACTCCAATATGACTGTGGACACACTGTAGGTACACACAGCTCTGTCCAAACAGCTTACAAAAGATGATTTTCATAATTGGTGCCCTAATTAATTATATATCACAACATTGACATTATAATAATATTTGAATAATATGGGATTCAACTAACTATAAAGTGGAATACCAAATTATATTAACTACAGTATTCGTATTAATGCTAAGTTTTTGTATGTTGTTCTGCAGCTGCTTGTGAGACCATCCCTGAGCCAATAATTGAGCAGGATGAGGAAGCACCTCTGCAACAGGACGCCGCAAAGTATATTAAGAAGAAACAGTCATCCAAGAGGGTCAAGAGCAAATCAGGTAAGACAAACGACCATGCTAACACCTCAGAAACCTACACTCCGGCGCTCAGTTAACAAGATTGGAACTAGTAAATGTTAAGTCCTCCTGAATTATTAGCCCCTTGTTTATTTTTTTACCCCAATTTCTGTATAAGGGAAAGAAGATGTTTATCAATACATTTATAAGCAGTTTTTATTGCTCATTTCTATTAACTGATTAATTTTATCTTTGCCATGTTGATACTTATTTAACTATATATTTTTCAAGATACTACTGTAGTATCTAGAGTGACGTTTAAAAGCGCAACTAGGTTAATTAGGGTAATTTTGCAAGTCATTGTATAGAACATTTTGTGGCATGTAAACAAAAACAATGGTCCTGTTTTACATTTTTAATTTCTACAGCTTCCGACAATCCAAAAGAGCCTCATATTGTTAAATAATGTTATGATAGCTGTTTTAACATTCAGTTAGAGCTTTTATTATTGCCAAAATAAAACAAATAAGACTTTCTCCAGAAGAAAAAATATCCTAGGAAATACTATGAAAAATTCCTTGCTCTGTTTAACATCATTTGGAAAATATTTGAAAAAGAAAAAAAATCACTGGAAGGCAAAACATTTTGTCTTCATCAGTATGAGTGGACAAACTGTTACGCATGTGTTGTTGTGTTCATATGACCACGTTTCAGCACGTCTCGGCGCATGCTTTCAGTTGTGCAAAACATTCACACATTCTTAATGAACTAAATTACGCTCAGGAGATGTGTTACATGAATACAATGGAAAACAATCTACCATTACGCTCCCGTACACTAAATTGGAAAATCCAGTTTACAGTAATTAAGCTAAAGCAAAAAATGGGACCTCTAGTAAGACTAAAAACCCCATTAATACTGGAATGTGTGAAATCTGTAGTAATTATTGACTAGTTTTGCGTAATTGCTTTAAACTGTTTAAGCACATGATGTGCTGCTCTGGAATTTTTAAGTCCATGAGGGGTTTTAATGCTATGTCCAACAGGATTTTCTGACTGAAAGGCACCTTAAAGGAATAGTTAACTCCAAAATTATAATTTCCTGTTCATCTACTCCCCCACAGGTCATTTCTGAGCTGATTTTTAGCTGAATCCGTGGTCCTTGGTGATTCATATTATGGCAGTGAATTGTGTGTGGTTTTTGTTTTATAGATTTTCAAGAGTTCACACTTAAATATTTGCTTGACCCTATCAGCAGGTTTGGCATGCTGTCCTGGGAGAAAACCCTGAGCTCGGAGATAATTGAGCCCAGGGCTCCCGCCAGGACAATAAGCATGTTTGTGGGTCCAAGATCAGGCGAGTCTCGAGAGCTCCCCCTGGTAAAGGAGGAAAAGGAGGAGCTGGGGTGAAAGGGGGATTCTTCCAAAACGAAGATTAGGCAGTAGGGTTAAATCCATTTGTTTATTGTAGGCTTGGATCAATCTGATTGGATTATTGCTGATTACGGATGAGAAACCAGCTGCGATCAATCATATCACATGCTCCTCTTAGAACTAATTAAAAAACTTCTCAAAAATAAACACATACAGTAGAAACAAGTCCAAATAAAGAGTTCCCACACTTCTTGAAAGTTCTTGACTTTCAGATGTGGATTCAAGGCCTGAAAAATACTTAAAAACAAACACAGGTCCTTGAAAGTGCTTGATTTAAATTTGAAATACAACTTGTTTATGGTTTTACTTCAACAAATGTGCACAATTCCCAAAAACAGAATGTAACATTGAGAAATTCTTAAATTAGGAATCTTAAAATTACAATAACACTGACAAATAATGCACATTTTCAGTCATTCATTCATTTTCCTTCAGCTTAGTCTCTGATTTATCAGAGGTCACCACAGCAGGATCAACCGCCAACTATTCCAGCATATTTTTTATGCAGCAGATGACTTTCTAGCCACAACCTAGCTCTGGAAAACACCGATACACACTCATTCACACTTATACGCTACGGCCAATTTAGTTCATTCAATTCACCTGTACCGCATGTGTTTGGACTGTGGGGGAAACCAGAGGAAACCCACGCGAACACGGGAAGAACATGCAAACTCCACACAGAAATGCCAACTGACCCAGCCAGGACTCGAAACAGCGACCTTCTTGCTGTGAGGTGACAATGCTAACCACTGAGTCACCGTGTTGCCCCTGAGAGTTGTTAAAATGTTTTACAAATAAAGCAGCTTAAATAAAATAAAGCAGAGCCGTGTTTAAATGTTGCAGAACATGCAAGAAGTTTGCAGAAATCTTGAATTCCTCAGCTATTAATTTGTTGTTACTTTAGTTACAGTTTTCTGTTTACAAGATATTCCGCATGTCTAGATTTCCATGACAGATTCAAATGTGTGAGAATTCCTGAAAGCTCATTGGTTGGCTGCGTGTTGTGTTTTGTCTTTGAGGAGGAGGTTCTGCTCAGACGTGTACTTCAGTCAGCAGCTCACTTCTGTCATTAACAGCTTATTAAACTTGTACTTTTAACAGCATACAAAGATTCAGACAGAGGAAGTTATTAAACGGAGAGTGAGGAAGGAAATCTGATTCAAACTTTGTCTCTGTGATGTTAATTGAAACAGAAGCCACTCTTTCATCTGTCTTTCATCTTTTTAACCACAAATACAAAGTTCACACCTTCTCCTTAATGTTAAGCGCATCAGATCAGCAAATACACAGGGAGTTTCACTAACCTTTAAAGGCCGGTTATAAATGTAAGACTATAAATGTTACTGCAACATAAAATATTGCTAAATAATTGTCTCTTTATTTCATTCATTCATTCATTTTCTTGTCGGCTTAGTCCCTTTATTAATCTGAGGTCGCCATCGCGGAATAAACTGCCAACTTATCGAGCATGTTTTATGCAGCGGATGCCCTTCCAGCTGCAACCCATCTCTGGAAAACATCCATACACACTCATTCACACTCATACACTATGGACAATTTTAGCCTACCCAATTCACCTGTACCGCATGTCTTTGGACTTGTGTGGGAGACCGGAGCACCCGAAGGAAACCCACGCGAACACGGGGAGAACATGCAAACTCCTCACAGAAACCCCTATTGTCCCAGCCAAGGCTCAAACCAGCGGCCTTCTTTTTTTTTTTTTTTTTCTTTTTTTTTAGTGTTTTGTCAGTTGCTTTGTGATGCATTAAAAAAAGTTTGGCATCAAACTTCAGTTTGGGATCCAAAATGGATCAGTCCAGTGCAGTGCCCAGGCTGCCATGCCTAGGTTACACTTTACCCTTTGAATTTAGTACATGTAAGTAGTTTTTTTTTTCTCTCTCTCTCTCTTTTTTTTCCTTTCCTCCTCTTCTCTTTCTTTTTTTTTATTTTTTATTTTTTATCTGTTGTTGGACTGGTCAGGAAAAGTACTGGTATATAAAAAAAAAATATATATATATAATAATAATAATAATTTATGTATAATAATAATAATAAATAGAAAACAAATATTATAAATAATAATAATAATAAAATGAATAAATAACATTGATAGAGACAGAAAAGGGGAACAAATAGAACAAAAGGGAAAGTAAAGAAGTATATAAAGACCGAATTATGATTGTTTTATTTTGATTGTTTACATTATACTTTTTTTTTCAATTGATTTATTTATTTTAAATTAGATTTAATATTAGATTTTTAAAAAAAAAAAATGTCCTCCTTATTTCTACCAACCAGCGGCCTTCTTGCTGTAAGGCGACAGCGCTACCCACTGCGCCACCGCTTCGCCGTCTTTATTTAATTAAAACTTAATTAAATAACACATACATACAGTTGAAGTCAAAATGATGAGCCCTCCTGTGAATTTCGATTTATTTTTTCAAGTATTTCCCAAATGATGTTTAACAGAGCAAGGAGTTTACCGCGAGATTCGCATGTTTGCAGGGCCGGATTAAGACTACATTGGGTCCTGGGGCTATAGCAAATCCAAGGGCCCCCCTTTTAAATATTTTTTACCTCAAAAAAGTATATACAGTTGAAGTCAGAATTATTAGCCCCCCTGAATTATTAGACCGCTTGTTTATTTTTTCCCCAATTTCTGTTTAACGGAGAGATTTTTTTCAACACATTTCCAAACATGATAGTTTTATTAAACTAATTTCTTATAACTGGTTTATTTTATCTTTGCCATGATGAAAGTAAATAATATTTGACTAGATATTTTTCAAGACACTTCTATACAGCTTAAAGTGACATTTAAAGGCTTAACTAGGTTAATAACTAGGCAGGTTAGGGTAATTAGGCAAGTTATTGTATAACAGTGGTTTGTTCTGTAGACTATCGAGAAAAAATATAGATTAAAGGGGCTAATAATTTTGTCCATAAAATGGTGTTTAAAAAATTTAAAACTGCTTTTTATCTAGCCGAAATAAAACAAATAAGACTTTTTCCAGAAGAAAAAATATTATCAGACATACTGTGAAAATGTCCTTGCTCTGTTAAACATCATTTGGAAAATATTTTAAAAAGAAGAAAAAATTTTGAAGGGGGCTAATAATTTTGACTTCAACTGTATATATATCTGGTGTGAACGCAGCATCACGCCTTCTAACGCCACCTTGCTTTCATTGCGTGTCAGCATTTGTCTTCTGAGGTACAAGTCATTTGCTAAATAAAGAAAAGATTTACGCAGCTTCTCCTACCACAGCAAATTCCATTTTAATTTTTGATATTTGGTACCAGTTAATCAAGAAGTGACGAGTTTGTTCTTTTTGATTCCTTGGATAGCTTTATTCGCACGTCTTTTATGCGATATTCCAGTTTTCTGCATACATTTAATATGTCTCCTTGGATGGAAACATAGCTAGTGACTTGCCTAATTACTGTAACTCGCCTAGGTAAGCCTTTAAATCTCATTTTAAGCTGAATACTAGTGTCTTGAAAATATCTAGGTATTTCATCATGGCAGAGATAAAAGAAATCAGCTGTTTGTTCACAACTTTTATGTTGTGTTTACTATTATGTTGAAAAACATACGTGTAGCCCG